AGTCCCTTTCTCTATCCATCATCTGCTCATTTTATACACAACTGCTTTTTCTACTGTCACTTACACTGGGATCTGTTTTCTTTCTTTCCGGAGTCACAGCCATGTTTCTCGGCAGGCTGCATGGGCAAAGGACTCACCTTCCTGTGAGGTCAGAGGAAGGGAGTGGTTCTATTAGTTATCTGGCATCTGGGGCTGTCATCGGGACTCCTGGGGACAGAGGTCTTTCCAGGAGTCATCACCACCACTGAAGGCCACCAATGCACTCTCCTGATACCGACACGGACCCCTATCCCACACTGACCCCTGCCTGCTTCACTTTCTCAGCAGGATCTTGAACTGAGGCTCTGCAGTCCATGTCTCAGTAGCTTCTCCTGATGTTGCTAAATCTAACCATTATCTGTGAAAGGAAACCAGGGATGGGAGCCATGCGAAGTGTGTGTGAACCCTCACCTGTAGGACACTCACTGGAGAGATTCCCCAGGGTCCTTTCATCCTAAATCTTTGGGAGGCAGAGAGCCCAGGGCTATGCCCCCTCCCTGTCCTCTTCCCTTTCTCCAGGGTGGGCTCAGCACTGTCCAGGAGAGATGCTGTCACTGACAGTACTGACAGTCCTTAGTGGCCCTGGTGCCAATAGGCGAAGCTCCTCTAAGGGCTGCCATGCCCAACTCTGCATCCCCTGCGTAACCAGCAGTGTTTAAGCACAGGGCAGCAAATGCACTGCATGAGCTGAACTGCTGCAGATCTAAGCTCTGGAGCTCAGGAGAGCTTTTATATCTGATAAGGCCAACAAGAGAAGCACAACAGGGATATTAGCTGATTCTTGTTTTAGTAGAACAAACGTTGTTTACCAATCACTGGAGCACCAGAAAACTGGGATGTCAGTCACACATTGTTCATTATGTTGGCAAATTCAAATATAAAAATTGTTTTCAATACTGCTGCACTATTTTATCTGAAAATTGAAGATAAAACAACTACTATAGTACTAGGACTACACATGGTATTGAATTTGTCTTTATGCATGGAGAGAAGAGTGAAGTTGAAAAGCTCTTATCGGACAAAGCCAAGGACATCAGGGTAACATGTAAGTCTTACTGAACTTGCCTCTTCATTTCTGCAGCTGACGGAAACACAGTCAGGGAACACTGGTGAGGTCACCTTCAACCTCAGACTTGAGCAATGCGAGTGGCTTTCAGCCAACCTTGAGCCCAGGAAGTGATGATATTCTGAGAGGTCACAGTCATTACCAACTTCAGACAGGTGTTGCAGCTGTGGGAGAAGCCAGATGGAGAATCAACACAGACGTCGATGCAGTCCCACGCAGCAACAGCTCCCCTGTCCAAGGAGCCCATGGTCACTGCCCACCGCTTGCTGGTTTCCCTGCCTGAGAGCTCTGGGGATGCTGAGGTGATAGTTTCTCTGTCTCTGTCTGTACAGTTCCCAGCACAGGCCCCAGCACCTCAGATCTGAACCGCACTCACTCAAGGACAGCACCAAAGTGCCTGCAAACCTCCCATCATCACAAGGACATTTCTGCACATGTGTCTTGTCACCCATGGGCTCCTTCTCCAGGAGTAAACAGTCACTGCCTGAGAGAGCAGCCTGTCCACACAGACCCTACCTGCTGACATTGACCTGCGAGCTCTGCTGAAACCGGACCAGAACCGTGCTCAGGGCCTCCTCTGGTGCTCTCCTGTCCGGAGGCACAGCATCTCCGCCCTGTCCACCACATTCTGTGCTGCCACACCCCTACTGCAGGGTAAATGCCACATGGTATTCAAACTGCTAGTGTTCTCCCTCTCAGACCTTTGGGAAAGTGAGAAAGTCTGTTATCTAAACTCCCAAGTTTTAACACAGGGTGAGAAAAACTGAGCGATTACCAAATACATGAGAGATGCTGTGGGCAAACTTTCACCTAATGCAAGTGGAGGAGGACAGGAGGAGATCACTTCTTGGCCTCCAGCTAAGATTGAGTGAAGGACAGACAAATCTCACTAGTTCTGAGGCAGGAGTCCCCTGTCCTTCACCTCCCTAAGTTATAGCAGAACAACTGAAGGTGCGGTTTCCACCT